CACAATGGTCTGCATTAAGTCTGTTGTATCCAAGGCACATAATGAAGGAATCAAATCTCTTATACCAACACCTCGGCGCCTGCTTTAGACCGTACAGAGATTTGTTCAACCTGTAAACCAAGTTCTTCTTTTCGTCTTCTTCAAAACCTTCAGGCTGGAGCATATAAATCTCTTCTTCAAGATTTCCATGAAGAAAAGCTGTTTTAACATCTAGCTATTCCAAATGTAAATTCAATGTAGCACACATTGCCAAGACTACTCGAACTGTTGTTAGTCGAACCACAGGAGAAAAAATTTCATTGAAATCAATACCTTCTTTCTGAGCATATCCTTTGACCACCAGTCTTGCACGATACATCTCCACTTGATCGTCACCATTTCTCTTGATTTTGAAAACCCATTTGTTACCAATTGACTTCATTCCTTGTGGTAGTGGCACAAGGTCCCATGTATTATTTTTATGAAGGGCTTCGATTTTTTCTTGCATCGCCATCATCCACAGTGAAGCATCTGAGCTGTTTATTGCCTCCTGGTATGTTGATGGCTCACCGTCCTCTGTTAAAAGACAGTATGCAATATTACCTTCTATAACATAATCTGAATGCCAATTGGGACGTCTTCTCACACGATCTGATTGACGAGTTGTTGGAGCTTCAGAACTCTCTGGTTCTTATTCATCATGTGCTGGTTCTGCTTCAGAAGAATCTCATTCTTCAAACTCTTTTTCCACATGTATCTGAGTAGTCTCTGACTTTTCAGCGCTATCATCGTCTTCTTTTCTTTGTAGTTTATCTTCTACAAAGATAACATCCCTGCTAATGATCACTTTGCGGGCAGTGGGATCCCACAAGCGATACCCCTTTACTCCATCAGCATACCCCAAGAATTTGTATTTCCTGGATTTTGGATCCAGCTTTGAAATTTCTTGGGCGTTGTACATCACGTACACAATACTTCCAAATACATAGAGGTTTGAATAATCAACTGGTTTACCAGTCCACATCTCAATTGGTGTCTTCAGCTCTATTGCAATTGATGGAGCTCGATTCACCAAATAACAGGCGGTATTGACTGCTTCTGCCCAGAATGATTTTTCTAGGCCTGCTTCCCTCAACATTGCTCTTGTTCTTTCTAACAAGGTTCTGTTCATCTGCTCTGCCACTCCATTTTGTTGAGGAGTGTTCGCCACTGTGAACTGTCTTTTGATGCCTTCTTTCTTGCAAAAGTCATCAAATTCTTCGCTTGTGTATTCTCCTCCATTATCTGTTCTGAAACACTTGATCTTATTTCCAGAATCAAGTTCCACCCGCGCTTTGAAGTTTTTGAAAATTGAAAACACGTCTGACTTCTTCTTAATAGGGTGCACCCAACATCTCCTGGAGTAGTCATCAATAAATGAGACAAAGTATTTTGCTCCACCTAGGGATGTTACTAGTGCTTGCCATACGTCAGAGTGAACCAATTCTAGAATACTTTTGCCTCTAGAATTTGATGTGTTGAATTTCAACTGGTGTTGCTTACTTGTTATGCAATTCTCACACAAAGGAAGTGATACCTTTGTTAAGCATGAAAGTAGCTTTTGCTCCACAAGGACTTTCATTCCTTGTTCTGACATGTGTCCAAGTTTCTGATGCCATAGCATTGCCGAATCTGAACTACATGAGGCAACAGAGGCTTATGCTTCTACCTAAGAGAGCCCTTCAGCATGTACAAGTTTGCAGCTATTTTTTCGCCTTTCAGTACCACAAGCGCTCCATGGAACACTTTCATGATTCCTTTCCGTGTTTCAATCTTGCTTGCATTATTATCCAACAATCCGTAGGATAATAAATTTTTCTTCAGACCTTTCACGTGTCGCACATCTCGAACAACTTTAATTGTTCCATCATACATCTTCAATTTGATGGTTCCCACACCAACGATCTCTAAGGCATGATCATTACAACTATACACAGATCCTCCTGAGACATGTTCATAATGATGGAACCATTCTCTTCTTGAGATCATGTGATATGTCGCTCCCGAATCAATGAGCCATATATCTGCAAATCTTTTTCTGCCTTCCACGGTGGTTGACGCTTCACAGCATAGAGCATCTCTATCATCTGAAGTGTTTGTGGTATTGCCTTGTGGATTGGAGTTTTTATTTAGACTCCAACAATCCTCCTTCAAGTGACCCTTCTTTCCATAATGGTAGCACTTTAAATTCTTCTTGCTCTTCGACTTCGATCTACCATGTTTATGACTGCTGCTTTAGCCGCGTTCTGTTAATCTCCCTCTCATCGTTGTCAACGCTTCTGCTTGTTACAGATTTACTTGTCTGTCTTCCTTGTTTTTGCGCCGATTTTCTTCCTGTAGAACAACAGCTGCAACGTCATGGAAGACTAGACTGGTGACATTACTGTTTGTCAAGTTGATGATGAGTTGATCGTACGAATCCGGTAGACTTTGAAGTAGAAGTTCAGCACGTTCTTGTTCTCCTATTTTACACCTTAAGGATGTAAGCTGAGAAAATAAAGTGTTCAGTGTATTTAAGTGCTCCGTCACTGAAGTAGAATCTGGCATACGGAGAGTGTACAATTTCCTCTTAAGGAAAATTTTATTGTGCAGCGATGTGGTCTCGTACAATTTGATGAGATGATCCCATATCTCCTTAGTTGTCTTCTTCTCCTCGATGCTTGACAATACTTCATCTGCTAATGCTAGATGAAAGTTTGCCATAGCATTCCCGTCCATCTCGTTCCATTTGATGTCATCTGTGAAATCCATCGGCCTTTCATTGATAACCGCTATACACCCGTCTTTCCTTAGGATGGCCTTCATCTTCAATTTCCACAATGAGAAATTTCTCCCATTGAATTTTTCAATATCAAATTTCGTTGCCATAGCTTCTTCTACGGATAGCTCCCACTATTTCACTATCGTGAATAGTTCTCTAGAACCTTCAAAGAATGGATAATAACTTCTTATTTTCTTATGTTGGAGGATCCACCTTTTGGTGGCAACCACAAAGACAATAAGCAGATATTACACACTCTAATCTAGCTCTGATACCAATTGTTGCGGAAGACGGCTATCGGATAGAGCAAAATCGCAACTGATAATTTGAGAAAATAAAAATGAAGATAAAAGAGACACAAAATTTACGTGAAAAACCCCTAAAAACTTAGGGTAAAAACCACGAGCAACGGTAGAAGAATTTCACTATGAGAAAATAGGAATTACAACCTCTCTCGATCTACCAATGAGAAAACAATGATAATTCTCTCTAGATAAAAAGGAGAAAACAACTCTCAAGAAACTCTCTAAAATCTCTCTAGTATTGGAAAAAAACTAGAATGCTTTGGGATGGTTTTGAAGCTAAATGAGCTAGGGTATTTATAGTTAAAACTTAAGGACTAATCTTGTAAATACCTTAAAGTCTAATGACTAAAATTAATATTTTCATTCTATTTTTTTCAACATTTTAGGTGAATTATTATTTCTAATTTTCAAATCACCTTTCCGTAAAAAATTAGGCCATCAATTTTAACCACTTGTCTTGACTTTTCAATATTTATTGGGGTTATGTTAAAGAGCGCTGCTTTTTATTTCGACATCATTTGGGATAACAACTATAGCTCTTCAATTAACATTAGGTATGGCGGGAAAGCAACCTAGCGGGGAAGAAATCACCTCTTTCATTGGAATCGACATAGAGCTTCATGTAGAATTAGACTGCTTTATTTTGAAGAACTGCGCTCATTTGGTCCTTATCATTTATATATTCTCTCAATTTAGTCATACTTTTAATAAATTAAAATAATTTAATCCTCAAAATATGTCATTAGTACCACGTGTCGTGCTATGTGTCAACAGTACCACGGGTCGTGCAACTTAATTTAAAAATAACTTATTTTATTTTAATTTAAAAATATATATTTTGTGCTAAAATATTTTGAAGTTAATATAAAAAATATATTTAATAATTTAAAGTAATAATATAATATATTTAGCAAATTAAGATATGTTTTTTAAAAGTTTAGATAAGAATAAAATATATATTTCTAAATAAAAAATAAAATATTTTTAAATTAAATTAATAATAAAATATATTTAATAAGTTAATATATATATATATATATATATTATGAATTTAATTGAAGTATTTTTATAAACATATATGACATGTCTTCTATTTAAAACCAAGCATTGATCTTGGCTCAATGGTGAGTACATGCTTGATTTCTCAGGAGACAAGTGACATAATTCGATTGAAGATTAAATTTAATTTAATTTAGTAAAAATATGATTAAATTAAAAAATATATGTAAATAATAAGGACCAAATGTATAATTATATCAAAATACCACATCACCTATTAAACGATAATAAACCTGTGGTGGTCACATCTTAATCGAATAAAAACGAAAATAATCATATCTTTTGATTAAGATAATGTGATTAAAAAGTAATATATATTTTAAATATTTTCAATCATTTAACAATGAACGCTCAATCACTCTTTAACCATTGAGATAAGTCAATTCGTGCAAAATAACCATATCTTAGTTAGATAAAAACTAAAGTGATCATATATTTTTTTTTTGACATTAATAATATAAATGAACAAAACACAAACATAAACCATCAATTTAACCTATAATTTATTTAAAGGCTTTTCCTATTTTATTAAAAGGACACGTAGCAAACTGTTAGACAGGTGGAAAGATACGGTAATTAAAAACGAAGCTGGCTAAGTTAATGTGATCGCTGAGGGACACCGACACAGTACATTCAATCCATGCCACCACTTTTCAATCCATGATATCATGATTAACACGTGGCAACTCAGCATAGAGGGCACTCTCCCTTCTACGTGGCAGCTCCCAGGACTGTAGCAAATCCTATATATCTAGATCATCCCATGCAGTCCACCTTCACCAGCTTAAAGAAAAATATATACAAAGATCGAGCCCAGGTTCATATAATCGTTAAACAATTTGTTCCGGTGTGTTCGTGTTTGAAATTTGAAATTCCAACCATGTCGACAAGGCAAGAGAAGGAGCGAAAGGCGGAGGCGGAGGCGAGAAAAGCGGCTGATGCTCTTAAAGATATTAACCGTGGAAGAGAATATGAAGAGAGAGTTGTTTACAAGGAAGAATGGGATCAATCGCCGCCGCCTCCACAACAGCAACAAAGGAGGCCCGAAGAACATGTTGTGTACAAGGAGGAATGGGAATCAACACAGCGGCAGCAACAGCAACAGAGTCCCGGAGTTATCGGGACGGTGTTGAGGGCGGTGCAAGGAACATACGAGCATGCCAAAGAAGCCGTCGTTGGTAAAAGCCACGAGGCGGCGGATGTCACGACGGAGAAGGCAAACGAGGGTGCTGAGAAGGCGAATCGCGAAACAGGCGAAGGATGCTACAAAAGAGAAGGCCGGTGAATATACAGATTACGCATCTCGGAAGGCAAAGGAGGCGAGAGTCACAACAGCCCAAAAGACCAAAGAAACCAAAGATTCGGTCACCGGTAAAGCTTCTGAATATACAGATTATGCAGCCGACAGAGCTAAGGACGCAAAGGATGCTACAATGGAAAAAGCTACTGAATATAAGGATTATACAGCTGAGAAAGCCAAGCAGCCAAAAGATACCACAGGGAAAAAGGCTTCAGAGTATACAGATTATGCAGCACAGAAAGCTAAGGATGCCAAGGATGCTACAATGGAGAAAGCCACTGAATATAAGGATTATACAGCTGAGAAAGCCAATCAGGCAAGAGACACCACAGGGCAAAAGGCTTCCGAATATGCGGATCATGCAGCACAGAAAGCTAAGAATGCCAAGGATGCTACAATGGAGAAGGCCACCAAGTATAAGGACTATGCCGCCGAGAAAGCCAAGCAGACAAAAGATACCACTGGGCAAAAGGCTTCAGAATATACAGATTATGCAGCACAGAAAGCTAGGGATGCAAAGGATTCTACAATGGAGAAGGCGACTGAATATAAGGACTATGCGGCGGAGAAAGGCAAGGAAGACAAGGACGCGACGGTTGAGAGGACAAAACAAGGCACAGAATACGAAGCAGAGAAAGCTAGAGAGGGAAAAGATTATACTGCAGAGAAAGCTAAGGAAGGTAAGGATGTTACTTTTAGTAAGCTTGGGGAGTATAAAGATTCTGCCGCTGATTCTGCTAAGAGAGCTATGGATTTCCTTACTGGGAAAACCCAAGAAACGCAGCACAAAGCCTCGGAAACTGCAGAGAACACCAAGGTGATGACTGATAGATAGACCTTTATTTGTTTTGATATTGAAATTGTACTCAAATTTTGCCCAACTCTTATAGGAGAAGTTGAGTGAGACGACCGAGTCAACAAGGCAGAAAATGGAAGACATGAAGCTGAGAGGTGAAGAAGGTGGAAGGAAGACTCACAGTGATGCTGGCCATGAAGGGTTGACGGAGACGATCGTGGTTAAAGTTAAAGAATCCCCAGCAGGAGCCATTTATGCTACCTTGAAATCATCGGATCAAACTTTCAACGACGTTGGGCGTGTTGACGAGGAAGGCTTTATACGTGATCGCTCGAGCAAAACCAAAATGTGATATCGGATCGGACCAATTATGCCCATACCCTTCGTATAGGGTTCAATATTTATGTTACTTTTCATTTTGAGCTCTGTTTGTTTATGGTTTTTGTAATGGAAGTACTTCCTTTTTGTGGGTTTTTCTAAATAAAAAAAAAGGGTATGTATTCCGGAACTACATGTGGGTGCTTTAGCCTTGTTTTAACCTGGTAAAATTTCCAAAATTTATTTCTTCCTCAAGTTAGTCCGTCACATCTTCCTCTCTTGGTCGTTATCATTATCTTGAAATGTCATTTCTTTTTATTTTATTTTATGTCATTATGATTTGAATATGACTGTTAGCTTTGTGCGAGGAATTGAATTTTCAGCTACCATCTTTTTTAAAGGAAGAAAAGATACATTCTGAATGTTCATTTCCTTGTTATCCAATTTTTCCGGTGAAAAATTCTCCAAGTTTGATTGGTTTAATTTGTGTTATGCTCGTTTCCTAGGGTTTTCTCAAATTGCATGAAGAATTATGTGATGTAAATGCTAGTTGTTTGAATTCGTTAACGATTTAATTGACTGATTGAATGGTTAGTTACATGTATGAACATCTATTAGAGTCAGTACGATTGAATTTCCTTTGGGAAATTGACATTATCTCCTGTGTTTCTTAGGTTGTGCTGAAAGTTGGTAGAATTTCTACACCTTTTGCTTGACTGTGTTATGTTGGTGTGTTAGGACTGAGCTTTGCCGGTTTAGCGGTGCCAGGATATACCCGGGGAAAGGCATCAGATTTGTTCATTCCTATTCTCAGGAGAATTCCGGTCGAATTCTGATTTGAAGTGGTTGATATTATATAGTTCTACTGGCAATAAAGTTGTGATCTTCTTCGATTTTTAGGTGTCGTAGGTGGGCACGGAATCGTCGACATGAATTTAATGGGTTAGAGCCGTCACCGTTCATTTAAAATTAGGTTGATCGGATACCTTAATTTACCATTTTACTTGATATACATTTTACCAAAAATTTAATAGGATCCGGGAGTCGATTACAGTCAAAGAATGATTAGCACCCTTGAACTGCCATTTCAGTACACATTTAATTTTCCGGTTGTCTTAATTGCGAAAATTAAAAGTTAAATAAAAATTTAAAGGTTTATCTAAATTATTTACCTTTGACCGATTGAAATTATCCCTAAAAAAATAAATTAATGTTAAATAATAAAATAAAATAAAACAAACAAAAAGGATGTTAAAAATAAATAAAAAGGAATTTTAAAAAATTAAAAGTGATAATAAAATAAAATGAAATTTAAAAGAATTAATACTAGAGTTAAAATAAGATAAAATTGAAAAGATAAATCAAATTAGTGTGAAATAATAATGTAAAATGAAATAAAATAAAAAAGTGAATGAACGAATTAAAAGAAAAATCGAATTAAAGGATTAAATTGAAAATAACTAAACATCAAAGATTAAATTGACATTAATTACGGGTTGTAAGAAAATATAATAAGTTAGAGGGCTTAATTGCATAAATATAAAAAATATGAACATGAATTAAATTAAAATAATTCAAAAATTAAGGGTAAATTCACAACAAGTGACCAAAATAAATTACACTTCAAACTTCTAGGGACTGTAAAAATAATTTAAAATTTTGATATTTGCACTTTAGTTCTCTATATATATAATCCCTAAAACCCAAAATTATCTCATATTTCACCCATTCCTTCAAAAACACTCTCCTCTTTACAAAACTCTCTCAACTCTCCCATAGTCGGCCACCCTCTGGCCTAGAACACCACCGCCAACCACCGCTGCTTCACGACTTCGGCCGCTAACTCCGATGGTCAAAAGCCTAAAATTCTACCCAAAATAATATCCTTGACACCCAAAGTAAAACTCAAGCCCTAAATTCCCAAAACAAGCCCTAAATAGTGTAAATCTAAAAAAAACTGTTTGGTTTTTACCTTTCCCGATGAACTTTCCAACTTCCAACTGCTTCTTCTTCTCTAAAGAGGCTCCCATGTGTTCCCGCTGACCTTTGATGAGGAAAAGCTTTGCATTTTGGTTTTGGTTTCGAACGTTTGTGACCTTGTTTTTTTATGTTTTTTGCTTGGTTGCTTTCAGTTTTGGCCGAATGTTGCTAGTGTTTGGTGGTTTTTGGTTGTTATGGTGATTATGCTTCCTTTTTTTATTGTTCTAGTTGTTGTTCTCTTCGGTTTTTCTCTGGGATTTTTCTTGTGTTCGATAGCTTTGGTGGGGTGTATTTATACCCCCACCGTCGGTGGTTGTTTCTTCTCCCAACGTGAAGGTGCAATCCCAATATTTGGGGGATTTTGCACGTTGTGTTTCGGTTGGACTTTGCTTCTATATTTTTTGAGAAAATCGGGGAAAGTTTTCCCCTATTTTGCCTCTATTTCATTTCGAGGATTCTGACCAACTAGCCACCGGAAACCGGTCCTGGATTCTCGACCTAATGCCTCTTTTCTTCTTCCTATACAGCGCCTTCTCTAAGTGTGTGTAACCCTAATTCAATTTGGGTTAGGTCAGGCCCCTTTAATTGGGTTTGTTTTTGTGAGCTTCCACCGGGCTTGCTAGGTTAGGCTACTCGGTTGGGCTATGTTTTTGGACCTTTGGTCTCCTTCTCGACCCGGATTAGACCTGAAATAAAAATAAATAAATAAATAATATATAATAAATAAAAAGAAAGATAAAAATGGAAAATAAAATATATGTATTAAAACTATATAATATATTTCAAAAACTATATAATATATTTTCAAAGATTATATATATTATATACGTTTTCAAAAGCCGTTTTTTAAAAAAAACTATATATATTTTCAAAATAATATGTTTTCAAAAACTATATTATATATGTTTTCAAAAACTATATTATATATGTTTTCAAAACCATTTTTATAAAACAATATATTATATGTTTTCAAAAATATGCATTAAAAAACAATATTATATATGTTTTCAAAAACCGTTTTTTAAAAGACTATATATTATATGTTTTCAAAAATATGTTTTCAAAAACTATACTATATCTTCAAAAACTATATTAATTATATATTTTTGAAATTATTATATATATTATCATATATATTATATGATATAAAAAAGATCTAGATGAAAACATGTGTCTACAGCTGACCCTCTTTGCCCATTATTGTGTAACGAAAATAGGGCAAAGACAAAACGACACAAATTTTTGTTTGGTACAAATGGACTTGAAAGCAAGCATGTTCCTATGAGGGTTGTTGATCTCTGAGTTTAAAATATGACTTAATTTTACAGTCGACTCTTTTATCGAATATCCACCGTCGCGGAGTTAAAATTCGACTTAAAAATAGAAGATAGCTCTATGTTGTTGAGCCACAATACGGGTGACTCATTCATCGTAAAGTTGAGTCGATCTTGAGATGTCTTTGAACACGATATCCTTCGTCCTGAAGTTGAAATTGTGGTTGACCCCTTTGTCATGAAGTTGAGTTAGTCGAGCATGATATCATTCGCTATGAATTTGAAATCTAGCTTGATGCTTGGATTAGGCGGTAAGTCCCCACCGTCTCCTTCTAGCCTAATATTCGTTGTGAAGTTGGAATTTGACTAGATGACCTTAGTTGAGAGATAGTTCCTTGTTGTTGCAGGTGACTCCTTCGCCGTGATGTTAAGTCGATCTCTTGGGCACGATATTCTTCGTTGTGAAGTTGAAATCGTTGATAACTCCTTCGTAGTGAAGTTGAGTTAATCTTGGATGTTTCAAGCATGATAGTTTTCGTTGTGAAGTTGAAATCTAGTTCGAAATCTAAACTAAAAAGTGGTTTCTTGTTGCCAAATCATAGTCAACCTTGGTATTCTTCTTGGCTTAAAGACCTCGATTTGAAATTCAACTGAAAAGTAGTTCCTCGGTGCTACCATGCAGTTGATTCACCCTCGAACTGAATGGAATCAAACTCGAAAGTTTTTGTTGATAGAAAACTTTTCTAGACTTAAACTATGCTCTAAATTAGGCTGGGAGATAGTTCTTTGTTGCTAAATCACAACCAAACTAGGTATTCTTTTTGGCTTAAAGACCTCAATTTAAAATTCAACTGGAAAGTAGTTCCTCCCTGCTACCATGCGATTGATATGCCATCGATTTGAATGGAATCGAACTCGAAAGTTTTCGTTGACAAATAACCCTTCTTGTCTTGAGCTATGTTGTGAATCTGATATGATCTTTGGATGATTCCCCTTCGCGGGAAAGTCATGTGATATATTTTTCAGGTGACCCCTCTTTATGAGAAAGCCAAGTGAGTTAGTCTGTCAGCCGGATATCATCCGTCATGGATTTGAAATATGGCTCGAAAACCTTAGCTAGAAACTAGCCACTCGCTATTGAGTTAAGCTAAATTGAATTCGTTTTGAATTGGCTCTCGAACTCGTCGAACCCGATTTGAAGTTGATTCTAAGATCCATCGATCTTTCTATAGGTCAAGTTGGTTGAGGTGTAGCTCATCGCAGCTGAGCTAAGCAACCACCATCAATTTTTTGAAGACGGTTTTGAATCAAGTATCATTCGTCGTGAAGTTGAGACTTAACTCTAAAATTGAAAAAATTATGTATGCGAAAAATGATAAATGTGATTCTCTTAAGTATGTCTAAGATGTATGCACAATGTGTAACATCCTCAATGCCGGGTTAGTAACCAAATTGTAAAATTTTAGGAATT